TTGACAAAATTCAACATCCATTCATGATAAAAACTCTCAGCAAAATGGGAATAGAGGGCAAGTACCTCAACATAATAAAGGCCATATATGATAAACCCACAGCCAGCATTATACTGAACAGCGAGAAGCTGAAAGCATTTCCACTGAGATCGGGAACCAGACAGGGATGCCCACTCTCCCCACTGTTATTTAACATAGTACTGGAGGTCCTAGCCACGGCAATCAGACAAAACAAAGAAATACAAGGAATCCAGATTGGTAAAGAAGAAGTTAAACTGTCACTATTTGCAGATGATATGATACTGTACATAAAAAACCCTAAAGACTCCACTCCAAAACTACTAGAACTGATATCGGAATACAGCAAAGTTGCAGGATACAAAATTAACACACAGAAATCTGTAGCTTTCCTATACACTAACAACGAATCAATAGAAAGAGAAATCAGGAAAACAATTCCATTCACCATTGCATCAAAAAGAATAAAATACCTAGGAATAAACCTAACCAAGGAAGTGAAAGACTTATACTCTGAAAACTACAAGTCACTCTTAAGAGAAATTAAAGGGGACACTAATAAATGGAAACTCATCCCATGCTCATGGCTAGGAAGAATTAATATCGTCAAAATGGCCATCCTGCCGAAAGCAATATACAAATTTGATGCAATCCCTCTCAAATTACCAGCAACATTCTTCAATGAATTGGAACAAATAATTCAAAAATTCATATGGAAACACCAAAGACCCCGAATAGCCAAAGCAATCCTGAAAAAGAAGAATAAAGTAGGGGGGATCTCACTCCCCAACTTCAAGCTCTACTACAAAGCCATAGTAATCAAGACAATTTGGTACTGGCACAAGAACAGAGCCACAGACCAGTGGAACAGATTAGAGACCCCAGAAATTAACCCAAACATATATGGTCAATTAATATTTGATAAAGGAGCCATGGACATACAATGGCAAAATGACAGTCTCTTCAACAGATGGTGCTGGCAAAACTGGACAGCTACATGTAGGAGAATGAAACTGGACCATTGTCTAACCCCATATACAAAGGTAAACTCAAAATGGATCAAAGACCTGAATGTAAGTCATGAAACCATTAAACTCTTGGAAAAAAACATAGGCAAAAACCTCTTAGACATAAACATGAGTGATCTCTTCTTGAACATATCTCCCCGGGCAAGGAAAACAACAGCAAAAATGAGCAAGTGGGACTACATTAAGCTGAAAAGCTTCTGTACAGCGAAAGACACCATCAATAGAACAAAAAGGAACCCTACAGTATGGGAGAATATATTTGAAAATGACAGATCTGATAAAGGCTTGACGTCCAGAATATATAAAGAGCTCACACGCCTCAACAAACAAAAAACAAATAACCCAATTAAAAAATGGGCAGAGGAACTGAACAGACAGTTCTCCAAAAAAGAAATACAGATGGCCAAGAGACACATGAAAAGATGCTCCACATCGCTAATTATCAGAGAAATGCAAATTAAAACTACAATGAGGTATCACCTCACACCAGTAAGGATAGCTGCCATCCAAAAGACAAACAACAACAAATGTTGGCGAGGCTGTGGAGAAAGGGGAACCCTCCTACACTGCTGGTGGGAATGTAAATTAGTTCAACCATTGTGGAAAGCAGTATGGAGGTGCATCAAAATGCTCAAAACAGACCTACCATTTGACCCAGGAATTCCACTCCTAGGAATTTACCCTAAGAACGCAGCAATCAAGTTTGAGAAAGACAGATGCACTCCTATGTTTATCGCAGCACTATTTACAATAGCCAAGAATTGGAAGCAACCTAAATGTCCATCTGTAGATGAATGGATAAAGAAGATGTGGTACATATACACAATGGAATACTACTCAGCCATAAGAAGTGGAAAAATCCAACCATTTGCAGCAACATGGATGGAGCTGGAGAGTATTATGCTCAGTGAAATAAGCCAAGCGGAGAAAGAGAAATACCAAATGATTTCACTCATCTGAGGAGTATAGGAACAAAGGAAAAACTGAAGGAACAAAACAGCAGCAGAATTACAGAACCCAAAAATGGACTAACAGGTACCAAAGGGAAAGGAACTGGGGAGGATGGGTGGGCAGGGAGGGATAAGGGGGGGGAAGAAGAAGGGGGGTATTAAGATTAGCATGCATGGGGGGAGGGAGAAAGGGGAGGGTGGGCTGCACAACACAGAGAGGACAAGTAGTGACTCTACAACATTTTGCTAAGCTGATGGACAGTAACCGTAATGTGGTTGTTAGGGGGGACCTGATATAGGGGAGAGCATAGTAAACATAGTATTCTTCATGTAAGTGTAGATTAAAAATTTAAAAAAAAAAAAAAAAAAAGAAAGAAAAGGGGGATTACTCCTTAACAGGATAAAACTATTGGTAAATCAAAGATCAACGCATGCTTTAAATATCCTTAATGTTGATCACTTAAAGGGTGTCAGATGATCAGCTATGGAGGTACTCTTTTCTGATAATATTCCTTTCTCTTAATTAAAAAAAAAAAAAAAAAAAGTTACTGTGTGCTGACCTCCAATGAGTTCTGCACAGTGGTATAGAGGGCATGTCAAAGTGTGGGCAAAGGGTCTGTTTGTTTCTACGCAGAAGATCAAGGCCTAGCTTGGATACCCAGAAAATGAACTAAGATACGATATGAGGAGGAGCTTCCGGCATCAGCACTCTCTGGAGGACTCGTGCCGGGGGATGATCATCAAAAAGCCTCCACAGGGATCCGGACGATGCTGCGGTTGTGGCTGCATCCAGCCCACCATCTCCTGGACTTGCCATAAGAAGGAGGAGGGAGATGTCTAGGCTGGCATGTGCATACAGTGAGACAACGAATTTGACTGGATCTGTACTGTTGGAACTCAACCAGGAGTTGGGAGGGGTGCAAGTTGTAGCACCCCAAAATCTCATGACTATAGACTATCTATGGTTAAAAGAACATATGGGATGTGAACAGATCCCAGAAATGGGCTGCTTTAATTTGTCTGATGGTTCAAGTACAGTTGGAAAATATCCATCATATCATAGATAAATTTTCACAAATGCCTAGGGTGCCTAAATGGTTTTCTTGGCTTCACTGGAGATGGCTGGTAATTATAGATTTGCTTTGTTTATGTCACCGTATTCCTATTATGTTAATATGTGTGTGCAAATTAGTTAGTAGTTTAAAACCTATACATACTTAAGGTACTATACAAGAAGATATGTCAAAGAAATAATCAATCCTCCCAAGTTTCCTTCATATGCTACATCTATAGCTTTTCTTCTTCCTTCCTAATTACAAACCTTAAATAGAATTCGTGCCTCATATCGAATTTACCGAGTATCATAATTCCTCCAGGTGGTAAAGATACCTCGAGACAAGTGCTGGGCATAGAAGCCACAGGGCATAAATCTGCAAAGAAGTAAAAAGCTAACCTTTGCAAACAATATGGCTTCTCTCTCACTTACCAACTTTACATTTCCCTGTATGGCCCCGGAAGATGACTGGTTAGCCAGAGACGGGTAAGATTCCTCAAGGGAGGAACAACCTAAGACAGGCACAGTCGCAGGGGGGCCATCAGGTGAGAATTTGGGGATCAACAGAGGTGAGGCTCAGAACCTCACCCCCCCTGCTTTGAGAGAAATCTTCTGCATCCGTGGATGTCTTGCTGCCCTTGTCTAGCCTGGATTAATACTTAGTCCATAGGCACACACCTGATCATCTGATCATCTACATTTGCCTTCTTACAGCACTAAACTATGTTTTCTACCTTTATCTTGCATCTACCTACCACTTCAGCATTTTATTAAAAATAAAAATAATAATAATAATAGGAGAAATGTGGGATCAACATATAAATCAAGTACAAAAATCAAATGAATATTCATATTTGACCTGATGGTTTATAGGTCATATTGCATGATCAAAACCGAAAGTTTCTGTGATGAATGCCCTTGTACTGTTCACCATGTAAGAATTTATTCACTCTGTAAGAATTCGTTCACCATGTAAGAACTTGTTTGTTATGCTTCAGAAGATTGGAGACTGACGAGAATTAGGCTGGGGGTGGATTAATGATTGTGCATTGAGCATTGACTCCCCCATACAGAATTTTATTGTTGTTAACAACCATTTGATCAGTAAATATGAGAGATGCCCTCTCAAAAAAAAAAAAGACTCGGAGGGAAATTTATAGCCTTAAATACCCATTTTAGAAAAGAAGACTGAAAATCCTTAAGGTAAGCATTCAAATGGAAAAATAAGAAAAAGAGCAGTAAATATAAGGAAATATTAAAAGAAGAAAAAATAAGAGCAGAAATTATTAAAGCAGAAAAAGCATACCATAGGGAATCAAATGTTGATTTATATAAAATATAATTCTTCTATGTCAGTCTTGTATGGTCTAACTTCTCACAGCTAGTCAATATAATTGATAAAGTGACTTCCAACTGTTAGACATTGCTTGCTCAAGTCCTATTCCTGATCTAGTTCCTATATGAATGGTGCTAATTCTAGAGGGTTGACATTTTTCGCTTCTCTTAAGCAGCACTAACAGTTCATCAAGTCCTAAGAATCACAGTGGCCTGTGCTGACTGCTTCAGAAAGTATGACCCCATTATGAATAAGTTCTACACAAAATACACAAACAGGATTATTCTGTCAAGTGTATGTTTTTTGTGAAATAGACATAAGGATTAAAAATATTTTTCTAATTCTGAAGTCATTATACCACGATTTGAAAGATTTTCCTATATAAGTTAAATTTTTCACAACTGACTCAGAAAAAAGGTAATGGGAGAGAACTAATAAGGTTCTAGTGAACGTTTTCTCAAAACTCATCTGGCAGTTGCCTAAGACCTGATGAAAAAAGAAAACTAACAAATGCAAATAGTAAATATTTTAGTTGTTCTGTACTTAAATATTTTCAACTGCTAAAAAGAGACAAATTAACTTTACCATTGCAACAGAATTAAAATATCACTAACCTGCATGATCTTGTTCTCCTGTACATTCACAGTCAAGCAAGTCATGAGTAATGCATTGTGAACTTTCATGTAGTGTGAACAAATTTCTAAGTTCCTCTACTGAAAACTGGATATGTTCAGATGTCTTGGTTAGGTCCACAACTGCCCCAGAGAGACCTTGCTTACTGATCTGCCTTTGATAGATCTTTTCTTCTATTGTACCTGAAGAGAAAACATTCATTATATTTCTTTCAAATCTGTTTGTCTATTAGTTTTGTAAGGTAAAAATGTTTATTAGCATACTGGTTAACAAGATAATAATAGTCCTGGTATTGAAGCACAGATAAACCAAAAAAAATTCTTTAATTACTGAAAAGGAATATATTTTTTGTCACACTGAATGAAGGGTTATTACCTGTGGTTAGAAGTCTGTATATATGGACAGGATGTTTCTGGCCATCTCTCCAGACTCTAGACATTGCCTTTAGAAAATAAAAGAGAATTCTAAGAGGATAGTAGACACCAATAGCCCTTTCAGAGAAGCAATTCTGCATTAATACATTTAAGATAAAAAATTATAGATTTTATTTATAGCTTCAAAAGACAAAGCCCAGGCATACCGAAACATTCTCCACTTCACATTTTTCTCCTGGGATAAAGACAAGGATGGATGAACACTCTCTGTGGCACTGTAAAGTAATTGCGGGGGTGCCACAGAACAGTGACAGGGCCTACCTACATCAAAGGGTGGGACAGCAGGTTTGCACAGCAAGAATGCAAAGAACTAAGTATAGAATGGGCATGGAGGTTTTATTCCCAGTCCAAGTAGCTTATGATTCACCCCTAAAGATACCTGTAATCAGCTCAGGCTCTAGGTAGATCCTATGGTGTTGAGATTTGTCAATGACACTGCACAGTAAGAGATTGATGTTCAAATACTACAGCTTCAACCAGCTCCTTGGCGATAAACTCTCAGCCCTTGGAATATCCTGCCTGATAAGAGCATCTTTATCCCAATTTAGCTGGGGCCTTGGGCCACATCAGATAGTACATATTAACAATGTGATTCAGATTGGTACCTTGGGCCAGTGTGACCTTTGGAGGGGTGGAGACTGAGCAGCTAATGTCAGTCACATGGGGCCTACATGCATACATGACCAACCTCCAAGAAAAACTTGACACCAAGGCTTGAGTGAACTTCTCTGATTGACAGTACTCTATATATGTTGTCATTTATCGATGTTGGGAGAAGTGCTTTCCATACAACTACAGTGGGAGAAGATAACTGGAAGCTTATGTCTGGTCTCTCCTGGACTCTGCCCATAATGCCTTTTACTTTTGCTGAGATCCTTCCACTGTGATAAACCACGACTGTAACCATGAGTACAGCTGTTTTTCTCAGTTCTGTGAATCCTTCTGAATCACTGAACCTAAGAGTTGTCTTCCAGTCCCCTCACACAGATACCAAATGAGGTGCAAACCTTTAGACAGAGATCTCAAAATACATGAGGAAAATCAAACCATCTTCTAAAATATTTTCCTAAATAAGCTAATTTTATACCTTTACTATGCTCTGCACAAACATTGATCTATAACACTGATGGTCATGAGCATCCAGAAGTCCCAACTATGTAGCTAGTAGAGCCTGGAGATGTACAGGTCTAGGTTTGAGGCCTGACTCTGCCTTATACAAGTTATGTGACCTAGAATAAGCTTCATATCTTCATTTGTGAAACAAAACTAACAGCCATACTCATAGGATTATTGTGAAGATTAAATAGATGTAAAGTACTTAGCGGAGTGCCAGATAAAAAATAAGGGCTCAATATGTTTTTACATCATCATCTTATATATTATTATACATCATCATCACCATCTTCATATCTTCAGCAGGCACTGTAGCCCCAGTAATCAATCTGTAATGTTTATTTAATGTTTAAATAGTCCTACCTGGATATCAGTGGCTGGATTCCAATCAATGTCATAAAGAATTAAGTGAGATCCTCCAATAAGGTTAAGTCCCACACCACCAGCTTTTGAACTTAACAAAAAAATAAAATCTGAAGAGTATCTACTATTAAAGCCATCAACAATTTTTTGCCTTTGAGAGATTGGTGTTTGTCCATCAAGTCTTGTATAAGCATATCCATGACGCTTACACACTTCTTGTAAAATATTCAAGGTTTGTGTATAGTTGGATACTAATACCACTCTGTCAATCAAAAAGAAGGATTCTTTACATACAATTTAAAAGCAACATTAGATATTTTTAATTGAAGAAAAATACTTCAATTTTATTATCACCGATATTTATAGAACATGTAACAATGACTGTACACAATTAAACCAGTTTCTCCTAATTCAATTTTTAAAAATATCTAAGAAACGTCCAGTATTAAGATAGTTCAGTTAAGATTTTTATGCAGATTTTACCTCTCTGAAGTCACCCTAAATCAGCAAAAGAATGAGAAACATAAATACAAACTCTATATTAGATAAAACAAGGAGACCTTTATATATAAAAACAGAGAAGAGTAGACCTGCTCAACAGTACAGAGAAAATGAAACCCAAGTGCTTAAAGAGGAAGATACCAATAAGAAACAAGTACAAGTTCATTCACATCAAAGACTCTTGTTAAGGTGCCTCAGAAGGAAGGAATGTAGACTGGAGCTATTACAACAGTGCTGGTAAGTAGAACCCAGGCCCTAATCCCATAGAATGTTCATTCTCTGGAGAAAGTAAACCAAAGGAATTTAGGCTAGGGGACTCTAGAAGGCAGGGATATAGTAACAAATCAAAATGAAAGTCTGTATACTGGATGGTAAGATCCTAGTCCCCTTTCTCCAGAACACTGTATACTGGATGGTAAGATCCTAGTCCCCTTTCTCCAGAACACTAACAGCCAGGCATCTCTCTCACATCCTACACTAAGAAAGATATTATTGGACGATTCATATCTGGAATGACTTGAATGACACGAGGAAAAAGGTCCACAGATAGGGAGTCCCCAAATAAAAAAGCCAGCTCGCTGCCTGATTACTCAGTGAGGGCCACCAGTCAACAAGCCTTGCCCATGCACACAGAGAATTCAATTAATGTTTTATTGCCTCACTCCTAAAAATAAATGAACATAAATGTCAACAGCTATTTGAGGTAAGCCTCCAAGAGAAAAACCAGAAATCAAACAAACTGAAAAAAAGAAACCTGAATAAAACAGAGTAATGGATGAGACAGAAAACATCTTGAATAAATATCCTCAAGTAAGAGATAATATTCACAAGAAGAGCTAATAAAAAAAAGAACAATCAAGAATAAGAAAAATCTTTAAAATTTCAAATAGCAGCCAAAATAGAAACTTAACAGGAGAACTGAAAGGTCATAACAAGAGGGTCTGCCAGCGGCTTAGGACAACCATTTATTTTATATCTAGCTCACAATTCTATAGGTTGGCAATTTGGGCTGGGCTCAGCTAGAAGGTTCCTCTGTTTGTGACTGGGCTGTTTGTGACTGGGCTGATTCAAGCATCTGCAGTCAGCAGCCAGGTCAACTGGGAATGACCTGTTCTAGTGAGGGCAGACTCCCCTGGGAAGCCTTGTCTCTGTTCCACATGTCTCTCATCCTCACTTATTGCGAGGAATCCCAGACAATTCCCTTTTGGAGGTCTAGAGCACACCACACCCCCCATACACACAACCACAAACCACTTTGAAACAAGGCTATTATTTTTATGCACTAGGATTGTCCCCTAAAGCAGCTGAAATCTGTAGGCAAAGCTGCCATGTACGGTAGAGTGTAAGCTGCATCCAGCACAAGAATATCCAACTTGGATCAGTACCATTCATCAAACCAAGGAATCATGAAAAAGGATCAGGCTTTCAATGATAAATGAAGCTGGGGACATGTGGAACTTGAAGTCCTCAAGACATCAAGATAGATGTTCATTAAACAGTAAGAAATAAGGACACAGAAACTAGAAGATAGGGTTGGACTAGACATAGAGATTTGGAATCAGTGCTATGTGAATAACAGTAAAAACTCTGGGGAGTAGAGATATCTGAGGATGGGTATTCAGAGTGAGAAGGAAACTAAAGAGAAAACCCTAGGGAGCATAAACATTTAAAGAGAGTTAAAGAAGAATTCTGAAAGAGATTAAGAAAAAGTTAGGTGTTAAAAATCAAAAGACATCCCAAGGCTTTTTTAAATATATGTGTTTACATTCAGTTTTTCCTAAATAAAAATTTATGGACACACTGTTAATAGATTTATAAAATACTGGATATGCTGACCAAGCCCCCAATGAAGAAAATAACTTATTTTTAATGTTTTCTTCTTTTAGAAAAAAGGTGGGTGGAGAGGAGCGGGAATAAGGACATTGTCTAAGCCAAAATCCCATGAGCACTTAGAAGCAGTTTATTAAATTGACCTCTTACTTTTCAGCAGGATGGAGTTCGTGGATAACTGCTAAGAGCTGTGACAGCACCTGTAGTTTTCCTGACTCTCTCTCAGTAAACAGGAGGGGGTTGTAATCAGCAGGAAACACATTTATCAAGCCTTCGTACAAACTCCTTTCTTCATTTTCATCCCAAGTTGAGCTACATTCTTTTTCCTATTCAAAAAGATGACTGTTAACACTGGTCATTTTTTTTTCATAATTGGGGGAAAAATATTAAAATTATGAAAAAAATGAAGATTCATAGCCACCTGAAAAGACGAAGCTATTATATAAATGTTTACATGCTATGATTTGGTCATTTTTTAAAAAAGTAATATGCATCCTACTGAGTTAATTACAGAGCAATTCTAATGCAGCCTCTTACTGCCTATCTTTACCCCATGATGCAGTATCACTGCCCTGGGAGGGTAGCAGGTGATGGCAGGGAATAAATGGGAGGAAAATAAAGGGGCAAATGGGAATTATATCTGAGATTTCTCACCATTGATACCTTTTTTCCTGCTTCCCTCCTTCCCTCCCTGCTATTATCAATTTGTGGGCTTCACAGAGCACCTCCCAGGTGATATTTAGAATCAAGAACAATAGTTTACTCAGTATTATCAATTTCTTCTGCAAGAAGTAACAATTCTGCCATGTTAACAGAAATTTATTCTTATATTTTTTGTTTACATTACCAATAGTTTCTTAAGTAATTTTATTACAAAATGATTATCAGCACCTCTGAAATTCCTCTTCCAAAACTGCCTAGTTGACATGTGAACACTTAACTAGAGATACACTTATTAGCGACTGCATCACTTTTTACATTAAATTTCTGGGAAAAGCAGGACTCCTCTTTCTCTCCCACATTTACCAGATTCATCACTTTGTTTGGAACTTTGTTCAACCTACTTCTCCTGCCTGGAATGCCTCATTTTTCTGGCCTATTATCCCAACGCAATAAACACTTGAGGACCCAATGCAAATTCTACATGGTTCTTCACAGACCTTTGTGGGGGGGGAGGGATAGAAAAGGAGGGACTTAGTCTTGACCTTTATAGTTACACAGTACATTTAAGTTTTAACCTTATTTAATTGAGCAATTAACTGTATACTTTCTTATATTTCCCTTGTTTTCAATGTGTGCTGTATTCTCTCTTTAATAATACTAGAAATACCTTAAGGGCAGTGAATCCTGTAGTGTAAGATGATGGGCACAAAGTACTAATTTTAATTTGGCTTACTCCCAAAATATAGCAATAGTTGGGTAAAGTCACTTGATTAAAAATACTTGGAACCACAGGATATGTGTATCACCAAAATATACAACGGGACAGAGACAGTTGCTGGCTGTCAAATTACACCCACTAAAATACCTATACCTCTGGGAGAGGGTGGAGGAGGGAAAGGGGGCACAATAATTCGCAATCACAGTATAAGCTGGCCATGGGGACAGTGGTGCAGCATAGAGAATGTGGGTCAGTGATTCTGTAACATCTTCCTGCATTGATGGATGATGGTGGCTGCACTGGAGGAGGGAGGATTTAATAGTGTGGGTAGCTGTTGAACCACTGTGTTGTATATCTGAAACAAATGTAAGATTGTATAAAAATGATAGTTCAATTTTTTTTAAAAGCCTATACCTCAGAGAGGTCATCAGAGACCACAGACCCAGGTTGTAGTCCACATCTTTTCATGTTCAAAAACTTGAATATGCTTAAGCTCCAGAGAAATAAGCTACACTAACCAAATTAAGAGACTGAACATGTCAGAATATAAATTTATTGACCTTGAAAGGAGACCTGCCTGTTTAAACCAGTTGGTCTCTACATTCTGTCCAATGAAGAAAGGTCCACAGGGAAAGCCAAATCATTAGCAGAAAGTTCTCTGGAAATACTAAATCAAAAGACAAGGAAAATGGATAATCCTAATACAGAAAGTATTAGCCAGGAACATGTATTAAGAATCACTTGGAAAAGCTTTCTCAAAATCCTAACACTTGGGTTCTACTCTGACATTCTGAATCTGTTCATATGTTTGAAGGCCTAGACAAATGTAATTTTAAAAGCTTTCCAGAAGATTAAAATGCATACGCCTAATTAAGAATCAACTAAGAGATAACATCATTATGTTATGACAGCCTGATGCATCACCTCTCTATTAGGGATTTGCCAGTTAGACTTCTCATATTAACAAGTTAGGGCAGTCTCGCCTCTGTCTATGACTAATACCCTTTGGTTATGGGTTGATATTTTTATTGGTTACATTCCATTCATATTTCCTGAAAAGAAACCCATCACCTTGATTGAACTTGAAAAACATAGTTTCAATAGGAACACATTTATAAACCATTGCTTAAAGGTTACTTATACATGGAAGGCTCGTTTCAGCCACTTTTTGTTGATGCTTATTTGCTATGATGTTAGAGGAAAGACTTTACTGAATAAGTTTCAGATTGGAAATTATACACTGTATTTGAAGTCTGAGGTATCCTATGCCTATTACTAGTTGACTGGCACATTCTGGGCCATTATAAGGTCTTCCTTTTAAGGAAGAATTTTTGGCTTCTATTTTTGCTGGGCATAATGCCCAAAGGGTTTAATTTTTATCACCATACGCAGCATCTCTTGTTATAATCCTGCCTACTGCAGAATTACAGAAAGCTGACTTCTCCTATGATAAACTATGTAAATATAATTCATTCTAGAATATACTTGTAGAATCTGGGTAGAATACTCCATTTGCTCAGTATATAATTAATGACGTCAAGCATAATGTAACACACACAGGTTTTCTTTTGTTTTGGTTGCAAATTATGATATTACTGTTTAAAGAAAAAACTAAGAGAAAAAAATTATTTAAAAAAATTGTTAAGGGTGAGCTGGGGATAACAGGATATTAAGAGTCATTGTGCAGCTCGTTTGGTCAGGCAGTCTGCTAGGTTCTTTCCATACTATTTCACCAAACTGCCACAATAAACATCAGGAAGTTATTATTGTCTCTGCTTTCCAGATAAGAAAACAAAGGCTCAAAGATGCAACCTGACCATGTTTAAACTTGCCCTTAGTTAAAAGAACTAGAAAGTAGTAGGTGGGGACTGATACCAGTTCTAACTCCATAGAAAACTCTCAGTAGATTCCAAATTGTATGATGTCATTAAATATCCAAGTGGTCAGCTCAACTATGTAACCATTTAAAAATCATACTTTTAAAAAGTATCTAATTATGGAAAATGTTCACAATTTATTTAGTGAAAAAGTCATTTTAAATGCATAACATTATTAAAATTAATTTTCTCTAGAAAAAAAATTAATTTTCTCTATGCATATCTCTGAGGCCACTTCCCCACCAGAAAAATGGGGGTAGTAATAACAGAACTTATTTCATAGAGTTTTATGAAGAATAAATAAAATAATACTAGAAAAATACTTAGTGTTTGGTATATGACAAAGGCTTAATAAGTGTTAGCAAGATTATTATTAATACCACAATGTAGTTTTCTCTGGCTGGAAAGCTTTTTTTCTTTCTAACAAATTTCTAAAAGTGTTATTGCCAGGCTATAAAATATACACAATTTTAAGGCTTTGATACACAAACTGCTAACTATCCTCCAGTTGTACCAATTACATTCTAACCAATACATTTTTATTTTCTTCTCTGTGACTGAGTTTTATAAATTTCATACAATAATCATTTATTACTTTTATAATGGGGAAACATTAAATTATTTTTAATGGCAAATATTCTATTTGTTAGCACCAAACAAAACTGACTGGCTATAATAATATCAAATAGAATGGGAGACCATGCAAAGTATTTACACCTGGTACCAAAGGGCATGGGGCACAAACTCTACAAGGCCTCATACCCACTGCATCCCCAGTTCAACTCAGTGAATGTGGACATGCTCTGAAGAATAAGTAGAAGGCTGGATAAGCTCCATAGCAGAAACATACTGGAGAAGCTGCAGAACTTCTGAGACACCACAAATGCACCCCATGGGATTAGCCCAATCTGCCCACTTAGATTCACAAGATGTAGAACCCTCAGCTCATACCCCTGACACAGTCTCACATACTTACCTTTATAGAATTGAACAAAAGGCAGGGGTGATTGCACAATTTTTTAAGAGCTCCTATACATATTAGATGAGGACTACTTTCCAACATCCCTTGAAGACAGAACCTGACAGCCTGAGAATCCAGCAGCTTTCGGTAAAGCTTAATCTGTAGTGTTCCTGGTCGGCAAAAGATTACATTCTCTATTTTGGGTGGAAGATACTCATTTATGACCTCTTGGGTTCTTCTAAGGATAAAAAGACCAGTGAGGCAAGTAAGTTCAACAGCTCTTCTCTCTCCTAACTCCTTTTCTTCCTATGAAAAAATAGCAGATTTAAAAGTGTCATAGACAAAAAATACTTGCAGTTAAAATGAACATTAAACATTTTATAGTAAGAAACCATTTATGAATTGTTTCTTTCAGATTTTTTTTTTAACAGAAGAAATGAAATACAAGTTTGGGATAGAATAAAAAACCCATCATCTTCGTAAATACTCAGCACAAACATTTAATTAGTGAAGTCTCCTAATCCTTGTTTGCTTGGCTATTGGCAACATTGAGAGCCATCAGAAATTAATAATCTACAAACTATTCTAAAATATAAATTATTCTAAAAGTAAGCTTTTATGTGAAGACTGTCATGGTTATAGTCTAAAAGTCATCATGAACTAATACAGCAAATTCTTAGAAGCAAATATTTTGAAGTCATTGATCCTAAAATTAAGCCTAAAAGAAATTACTGATGCAAGGCACAGCTGACTCATTCAAAACCATTACACATTGTTCACTAAATAACAGTATGTTTTCAAGCCAAAATACAGCATAAATTAAATAAGGTTTTAAATTCTCTATATACAATCTTCTGAGTGTACAGATCTTCACAGTGAAGCTTAAAATAAATCCCATATGCAATATTTGTTTCCATATTAATCATAGAAAATTTCCCTTATATTTTAACACCATTTTTAATATTTACTACAAATGAAATAGGTTCACTAGAGAAAAGTCAGAAAATAGTTTTCCAAAAACAATAAAATGAAAACCAACTTTAATCAACCAAAAACAACCACTGCTGTCAAGACTTTTATGTACATCTCCCAAGTCTTTTTTCTTTATAATATGCAAATGTATTTAATATTTTATTTTGATTTGTATTTGTAACAAAAATAGGATCTTAAACTATATGGCTTCATGGGAACAAGGATCCAGTCAGTTTAGCTTATCACTGTTCCCTAGAATCCAGCACTCAGCATTCGGCCCACTTTAGGTATTTAATGTATGTGTTAGGTAAATAAATTCACATGATTTATTTTTAGATAATGTGTCATGAACATTATCCATGCTAATATATATCTATAAAACAATATTTTGCATGGTTCCTGGTTCATGTGAAATGCTTGATAAATATTTGTTGACTGATTATATTTTATTAACTGAAACATACTTTTTTTACACTTTAACTTCTCTGAAATAGGATGCTTTTTTTATCTTGTTACTTTTTTTGTTTTGAAATCTACTTTGTCTGATACAAGCATTGCAACTCCTGCTTTCTCTCTCTATTATTTGCATGAAATATTTTTTTCCATCCCTCCACTTTGAGTCTGTGTATGTCTTTGGCTTTGAAGTGAATCTCTTGTAGGCAGCATATAGATGGGTCTTGTTTTTCATCCATTCTGTAACTCTCTGTCTTTAGATTGGTGCATTCAGTCCATTTACACTTTGGGTGATTATCAATAGATATGTACTTACTGACATTGCAGCCTTTAGATTCATGGTTACCAAAGGCTCAAGGGCAGCTTCTTTACTATCTAACAGTCTAACTTAACTCCCTTATTATGCTATTTCAAACACAGTCTAAAGGGTTTTTTCCTCCCTTTTCTTCCTCCTCCATTCTTTATATATTAGGTCTCATATTCTGTACTCTTTGTGTATCCCTTGACTGACTTTGTGGGTAGTTGATTTAATTTTACATTTGCTTAGTAATTAATTGGTCTACTTCCTTTACTGTGATTTTATTTTCTCTGGTGACAGCTATTTAGCCTTAGAACACTTCCATCTAAAGCAGTCCCTTTAAAATACACTGTAGAGAGGTTTTGTGGGAGGTAAATTCCCTCAACTTTTGCTTATCTGGAAATTGTTTAATCCCTCTTTGAATTTAAATGATAATCTTGCTGGGTAGAGTATTATTGGTTAGAGGCCCTTCTGTTTCATTGCATGAAATATATCATGCCACTCCCGTCTGGCCTATAAGGTTTCTGCTGAAAAGTCTGGTGACAGCCTGATGGGCTTTCCTTTATACATGATCTTTTTTCTATCTCTGGCTGTTTTTAATACTCTCTCCTTGTCCATGATCTTTGCCATTTTAATTATTATATGTCTTGATGTTCTTTCTAGGGTCCCTTGGATATCTGTGCGCTTCCATCATCTGAAAGACCAGATTGGGGAAGTTTTCAGCAATTATTTCCTCAGAGACTTTTTATCCCTTTTTTTCTCTCTTCCTCTGGTACCCCTATAAATGCAAATGTTGTTCCCTTTGGACTAGTCACACAGTTTTATTATTCTTTAACTCCTAGAGATCCTTTTTCTCTCTGTGTCTCAGCTTGTTTTCCTGTTCTTTGATTTCTATTTTACCATCTCCTCTACCTCATCTAATTTGCTTTTAAATCCCTCCATTGTATGTTTCATTTCAGACACTGTATTTTCCAAAGTTTCTATCTCTTTCTTGAAGTCCTCACTGAGATTTTGAATATTTTTCTGTAGCTCCATGAGCATGTTTATTATTTTTATTTTGAAATATTTATCAAGAAGATTGGTGATTTCAGTTTCACTTAGCCCTCTTTCTGGTGTTTGAGGAATTCTGGTTTGTTCAAAATTCTTTTGCCATTTCATATTTCTTATGATTACTATGGAATAATAATAACTTTGTGTAGGTGGCACCTTCTGGTACCCAGAAGCTCTACTCTCTGGAGCTGCCTAGCACCTTGAGCAATGAAGGGATCTCAGGCAAGTGGCACCAGTGCCTGCTGGGAGGAAAGAGCTCTTTCCTGCTTCCCAGCTGCAACAACTACCTCCACTGCCAGGTCCAGTTGGGCCAAGATTGCAGGGAGGAGCCTCTGCATTATGCCCCTGTAGCTGCCCTAGGTAGGGCCACGCTCCAGCTGGCCTGGCACAATGGTGGGGGCAGCAGGTATGCAGACCAGTGCCTGCCAGGAAGAAGGAGCGGCAGGCTGCCTATCACAGTGGGAGGCCTCAGGGCTGCGTTGCCAGCCAAAGGGATGGAGTGTCTGAACCTCCTGAAAGTTCCCAACCTGCTGGGTTGAGTATGCCAGGACAATTGTGTCCACCTGTTCCCTCTCCTGAGCAGCAAGCACTGTGTAATCTTTGCCCCTTTAGCACCCCTCTTGCTGTTGTGAAGTCTTTCAAGGCACCTGCCTTTCTTTTGTCCTGGAGTTGCAGGTTTGCATACCTGTTCTCTACAAGCAGCTAGAATCTCAGTCTCTCCAAGTATTCTGCTTGTCTTTGCTTTCCAACCCCAATAATCTCCAGAGCACCACATAATGTGGGTTCATGCTCCTGGAGCATATCTCCAGGGCTGGGTGTATAGCAGTCCTGGGCTTCTGCTCCCTCCCTCCTCCATTTCTCTTTCTCCTGCCTGTGAGCTGGGGTTGGGGAAGGGCTTGGGTTCTCCCAGATCATGGCTTTGCTACTTTACCCTTTTCTGTGAGGTCTTCTCTTTTCCCCACATGCAGGTAGCCTGTTATACATTCTTTGGGTCACTCTTTCAGGATAGTTATATTTGCTGTATTTTCATGTAATATGGGTTTTAGCAGGAGGTTTCTGTCTCACTTCTCACACCACCATCTTTTTCCCCACCTCAGAATGCTTTTTATAATCAAGGACTTCTTAAAATTATAATTGATAGCATGTTTTCCTTAGTGGTACATAAAATAATGATGTACCTTAGAATTGCTATTATCTTAGATTCAGTGAAATACATTGTCTATACAATAGGCAGACTCTAATTTCACCTTTTCCCTACCTTTACAAATGTTTGTTTCCAATTAGCTTGTTTCCTTTAGTTTGTTTCTAACTTTTCACTCTTACAGCTCTTCAAGCACATCAGTGATTATTTCTTTATAATGAAATTCCTAAATATGGTATTGCCAGACCACAAAATATACACAATTTTAAGGCTTTTGATACACATTGCCAAACTGTCCTCCAGTTCTATGAATTCACATTTCAACCAGTAGAGGGTAGTACTCTCACCTACATTTGGTAATTACTATGCAAATCCAACCAACTAAAATATCAATAGAAAAATACAAAAACTACTTTATAGTCATTTTGGTATACCATTTTTCAATACCACTGAGGGTGAACACTTTAATATGTTTACTGTCATTTATATTTTTTTGTGATGTGTCTACTTAAAATGATGATTGAATTTTCTAAAATAAAGAATACAGGAAGAGCTGAAGGATTGTGGGAAAAATTGAGAACTCCCTATACTAATTTAATTTTCCCTAAATTAAGATAATAGCCAAGTTATGGACACCTGGTTCTTTTTAAACCTATTTATTAAAGTAAATTATACCTCAGAAGCAGAAGGTTGTCTCGATAAAATGATAGGTTCTTCATATATTTTTCTGTAAGATGACAAAGAGCCTAATATTCCTGGATTTACAAAATCAATTAATGCAAAAAATTCCTGGAGATCATTCTGAATTGGAGTACCTAAAAGGAGATAAAAATTATAAGAAGGTCAACTTTGTGGTTTATAAGAACAGGTCTTCATAGAAATTTGTACTCTTGTCCTTAAGAGGACTAAATACAAGCAAAGTCCCTAAAGCAGACAAATCTAATTGGAAAAAAAAACTATTAATCATCAAATAAATTTTAACTCTGACTTTAATTGTGCACTAAATTCTTATTTAATACAGCATAGGGGTGAATGTATATAGGCTCTGGAGTCTGACTGGTTGGATTTATTTTCTACCTGTATCACTTACTCTCTGAGTAATCCTTGCAAGTTACCTACTCCAATTTATTTCTTTAAAATGGGGGTAGTAATAGTAGCTCCTAGAGTTGTAAAGATCTAATTAGTTGATCCATATACTATACTTAGAATAGAGCATAATAAATGTTCCATTACTGTTAGTGATTCATAATATTATTACAACTATCTGACTTCGGGCAAATTGCTTAAGCTCTTGAAGTTAAACTTAGGACTTTTTTCACTTATAAAAGTGGGGAGCTAATAATTTCAAAGGGGTATTACCATGAAAAGTAGAGACAATGTATGTAAAGTACCCAGCAAAGTGCCTGCCATTTAGTAAACACTCAGTGAATTGCATCTATTTTTATTAACTTTCAAATTATTTGATCAAATTGGGATGTTCACTGATCCCAAAGGCTGACACAAAGTATAAGAGATTAATATACCCTGCATATATTACATATTCAATAACTTGTGGATAACTAATTTTCAAAGGAACATTGTCATGTTTCAATAATTATATTAAAGAACATATAAATCAGCATAGTCCAACAGTATAATTTCAGATGTTCAAATAAAAGACTAGAAAAAGCTGTCCAAAGATATAAATAACATTAGAAGTAAATCAAAATGCACTTATTTCATGAACAGATGACATGAATTTTACAAATGCCAGGGAGTTTAAGGATCACTTCCTTCAAAATTATATGGGTCAACCCTAAGTTGGCCCAAAGCTAATTTTTTTTAACACATCTAGTCAGTTCTAAATTTTTCGACACATCATAGAGTTAGAGAAAATATATTAATGTGTTGGTATGCATTTTGAAAGTCTTTAAAAGAATATTCATGACAATGACTAATAAAGTTGTGGGGAATGGGAAAAATAAGAAGGAAAGAGGGGAAAGGTAAAATGATCCTTGTGGTTGGCTTCCAGACATTTATCCATCCCAACTAATTAATCCAAGCTAGTCATGGCAGTTTTATCCACTTTGCCAATGACTCATATAGGAAAGGGTTTGTGTCTTTGACTGAGTTCCCCAAAAGCAAAGCCTAAGACAGGGATTTGGCAGAACACCATTTATGGAGGGAGTGCTCTCAGGAGAAAGAGAATAATGGAATCAGAAAATGGAAAGAAGCTACAATGAGCCTTAGAACATAATGTACTATAAAGTTGGTCCTGAAATTACCCTGAGTCGCTGGCGCTGGCATTTTTCACTTACCCCTATATGAGTTAATTGTTGACTAAGCTGCAGTGGAGAGTGGAAGCCTTCAACCAAGGAAAGGCAGAAGATATGAGTTATTTAATTAACAGTCCCAGTAGCTAAGAAATGAGTACAACAGCCCAGAAAAGGTGAGATAGCTTCCACCGATAGCATGTGACCCATCCTGTCCAATGAGGCATGAGAGGAAGTCAGGGAGAGGCTTTTGGGAAAGTTTCCTCATTCTTAAAAATGAAGAAACAGGAAGAGCCAGTCCCTGTTCTCCTTTGGATATCACCACATCTAGTCATGATGTGGGAATGGAGGCAGGAACCTGCTATCAGCCTGAGGAAGCCAACGTCAAACATGGCACAGCAGAGGAAAAAAAGAATCAGAATCCTTGATGACATTGTGGAGGCTGCCCTACCTCAAGGCTTCCAGAAATGTGGATGAAGAAGCACATTTGATTCAGATATCTGTCATTTACACCTGTAATCACACTGATATAAGGGAGAGAGGCAAAGGCAAAACTAGAAAAAAAAAGAAAGGCAGAAAATCAGGGGATAAGAAAAGGGATTTGGAGCAGAAAATAAGGAGGAAACAGAGAAAGGAAGGAATGAGAGAGAGAGAGAGAGAGAGAGAGAGGGAGGGGGGGAGACAGAGAGAGAGAGAGAGAGAGAGAGAGAGAGAGAGAGAGAGAGAGAGAGAGAGAGAGAGAGGGAGGGAGGGAGGGAGGGAGTGAAGGGGCACATGGTTACAAGAGAAAGCCACTGCACTAACTAGCAGAGCAACATTCTAGTAAGTTGTCACAAAGGTTGTCTAGAGGTGGTTCAGCCCTCAATTGACTGCTTTTAGTACTCTTTTCTAATTCTAGACAAGGTAGAACCCACAGAAGCACCTAAATAATTTGGTAATAAAAGTTTAAGAAGAAAAAAGGAAACACTTTCAAGTCAGGTTGATGTGTTTATTAAAACTATTTTCAGGGGTATGGAAGAGAAACTTCTAGGGAAATGCAAGACCTTTCTCTTTCCTTCCTCCATCCCAGCAAAAAAAGCTTTTGCTTTGTTTTATTGCTTTTTTTTTAAGAACAGATATAAATCAACCTCCCAACCCAAGTACTAGAACACTACCAACAACCTTATCTATATCCTCCACTATTATGTCCATAAAGAGCTCTAAGAGCTCTTTACACAAATTCATACATAAACTTACATGCTTATAGATATTCGTCACATCAGCTTTCAAGATTATGTAATACAGGAAAATGTTTACATTAAGTGTGTATGCCTGTGTATTTTTTTTTATTAAGGTATCACTGATAAACAATCTTATAAAGGTTTGACATGAGCAACACTGTGGTTATTACATTCACCCATATTATCAAATCCCCCACACACACCCCACTGCAGTCACTGTCCATTAGCATAGTAAGATTCTATAGAGTCACTACTTGTCTTCTCTGTGTTATACTGCCCTCCACGTGAACCCCACCCCCTACATTATGTGTGCTCTTCTTTAAATCCTTGGTAGAATTCAGCTGTGAAGCCATCTAGTCCCAGAATTTTGTTTTGGGGAGTTTTTTTATTACCAATTTAATTTCACTGCTGGTGAATGGTCTGTTCAGATTTTCTGTTTCTTCCTGGGTCAGTCTTGGAAGGTTGTAGTTTTTTAGGAATTTGTCTGTTTCTTCTAGGTTGTCCAGTTCACTGGCATCTAATTTTTCATAGCTTTCTCTAATAATTATTTGTATTTCTGTGGTATCTGTTGTGACTATTCCTTCTTTGTTTCTGGTTTTATTTGTGTACTCTCTATTTTTTTTTTTGATAAGTCTGGCCAGGAGTTTATCTATTTTATTTATTTTCTCAAAAAACCAGCTCTTAGTTTCACTAATTTTTAAAATTATTTTATCTGCTCTGTATTATTTATTTCTTCTGTGATCTTTTTATGTCCCTCCTACTAACTTTGGGTTTCATTTGTTCTTCTTTTTCTAATTTCTTTAACTGTGAGTTTAGAGTATTTATTTGGGATTGTTCTTGTTTCTTGAGGTAGGCCTGTATTGCTGTGTAGTTCCCTCTTAGAATGGCCTTTCTGGCATTACACAAATATTGGACTGCTGTTTTTTTGTTTTCATTTGTCTCCATGTATTGCTTGATTTCTGTTTTAATTTGGTCATTGATCCATTTATTATTTAGAAGCATGTTGTTTAGACTCCATGTTTGTAGACTTTTTGTTTTCTTCATGTAATTTATTCCTAGCTTCTTACCATTGTGGACTGCGAAATTGCTTGATACAATTTCAATCTTTTTAAATTTATTGAGGCTCTTTTTGTGGCCTACTGTGTTATCTCTTCTGGAGACTGTTCCACATACACTCGAGAAAAATGTCTATCCTGCTGCTTTTGGATGGTGTGTTCTGTAGATACCTGTTTTAAGTCCATCTGAACTAATGTATTGTTCATTGCCTCTGCTTCCTTATTTATTTTCTGTCTGGTTGATCTGCTTGTTGATGTGAGTGGTGTGTTAAAGTCTCCTACAACGAATGTGTTGCAATCTACTTCCCCCTTTAATTCTGTTAGTATTTGTTTTACGTATTTAGATGCACTATGTTGGAGGCATAGTTATTTTTAATAGTTATATACTCTTGTTGGACTGACCCCTTATCATTACGTAATGTCCTTCTTTGTCTCTTGTTACTTTCTTTGTTTTGAAATCTATTTTGTGTGATATAAGTACTGCAACTCCTGCTATTTCTTCCCCCTATTGTTTGCATTAAATAGCCTCTTCCATTCCTTCACTTTTAGTCTGTGTATGTCCTTGGGTCTGAAATGTGTCTCTTGTAGGCAGCATATAAATATGTGAGGGGCTCTCTGCTCTTCCATGACTTGAGGGTCTGTTTCCTTATCCAGACTGGGGAAGTTTTCAACAATTATGTCCTTAAAGAGACTTGCTTTTCTCTCTCTTCTCCTTCTGGTACACCTATTATACAAATATTGATGCAGCTCTCATCATTCTTTCATTCCTAGAGACCCTTTTTCTCTGTTCCTCAGCTTCATTGTGTTCCTGTTCTCTAATTTCCATCTCATTGTCTTCTCTGTTTGCAGCAATCTATTATTGTTCATTCCCTCCATTGTAGGTTTCATTTGTTACTCTATTCTTCAGCTCTTGTATTTCTTTGTTGAAGTCCTCCCTGAGATCTTTAATACATTTCTTCAGATCAGTGAGCATAGTATGACTTTTACTTTGAAATCAGTATCAAGAAGACTGGTGGTCTCCAATTCATTTAGCCCTCTTTCTGGTGACTTCTCCTGTAGTTTTGTTTGGAACATACTCCTCTACCTCCTCATTTTGTCAGAGTTTCTGTGTTTCTTTGTATTACTTTGAATCTTCTATGCTTCCTGGTTTAGACAGTAATGGCTTTAAGAAGAAGAAGGCATCCTGTGGTGCCTAGAGGCTCAGGACCCTTTCCGCTCCACTGCCTGGTTCTCCTTTGCTATTGGCGGGCAATGAGGAGGGCCTTCCTTTCTCTCTGTGTGCTGGCAGTGGTTTATCTCAGTCTGCTGAGCCACAACCAGGCCTATGTGAGCAGAGCACTGGTTTCTGCTGGGATCATTGTGGGCAGGGCCGCTCTCTGCCTGCCCTGCAGTCATGGCAGGGCTGCTGGGATAACGAGTGGGTGGGGCGGTCGCACTGCAATTTGAACAATGGCAGGGTGCTCAGGCTCCCAGTAGTTGCCAGGTTGCAGAGCCTGAGGGTGCCCAGTATGGATGGCCAATCATGCTGGGAGGGTGCACGGGCTCATTGAGGCAGCAAATATCATGGTGAAAGGGGCACACAGGGGCATGGGTCAACGCAGTAGCAAGTCCCATGGTGGAGTCCATGCTGGTAGCAGAGGCACCCAGTCACACCGCAGTGGCACACAGCTGATACAGCAGCGAGTCCCACGGGCGCCCCCTAGCAGCATGAGGCGTGCAGCATCCAGCATCACCACCCATGGGGAAGAAGGAGCTCTTGGAGATGGCTCCCCAATTGGGCAGAAAGCTGGGAGAGTCTCCCTCAACCCACCAGGCAGCAAAGTTGGATGCTGCTGGGCCGGGTGAGCTGGCATGTCAGCAGTGCACAGGATGGCACATTGGGTCTGAGTCACTAGTGAGGGGGACAGAGTATCTGGGGCTCCTCAGAGTGCTCTACCAATTGGGCTGAGGGAGTGCCAGGGTGGTTTCATCTCCTTTCTCCTGCAGAGATAGCTCTACCCAACCCTTGCCCCCTCCCACTGACAACAAATCTTTCAAACTGCTGTCTCTGTGTTGGGCCTTGGCAAGACAAGTGAGCATGCCTGCCCTCCATGGGCAGCTGGTGTCTCAGCCTTCCAAGGTGTTCCAACTGTCCCTGGTGTCCAGTCCTCCTAACCACCAGAACCCAATGCAGTGTGGACTCTATCCCAGTTAGAATTATTCTTTTCTCACAGGAGAGGCTAAGGAGGGCTGTAGTTGTCTTAATGGTACTGTTCTTCAAACGATGCCCTTCATCACAGATTAGAAGATCAAATTTTGTATTCTTAACTTGATCCAGGGAACGAAGTAACATTTCATAACTCATGATAAGGACAGAATAAAATGGAGATTTGATGAATTCTTCAACTTTGTGGTCCTAAAAAGGAGGAGCAGGGTAGTAATATTTAACAAAACATCTCCAGGCCAGGTGCACAGAGTTCCTGGGCACCTATCTCCTCCCCACTCTGTTCCTCTTCCTCCTGTCTGTGGGCTGGATGGGAGAAGGGCTTGGGTCCTGCTCAGTCACGGCTCTGCCCCTTTACCCTTTTCTGTGTGGTCTTCTCATCTGCCCCAGGTGTAGATGGTCCGTTCTTCAGTCTTCAGTTCATTTTCAGGTTTAGTTGTATTTGCTGTAGTTGCTTCCTTTGTGTGTGTGGGGGGGGGAAGAGGTCCATCTTGCCTTTCTACTCCACCATCTTGAGCCTCTCCCCTCTCAAAATCAATTTCAATAAGCATATATAGTTTTAAAAATCACAACCCTCCCACACAAATTGGAAGTCAAATGACCATGAATTTATTTTGACTGTGATTTACTCAAAGATGGACACCCTCCCCACTCCAACTCTATAGGAACAGAATAGGAGGAGTCCTCTGTTGCTCCAGGGCACATTTCCACTCCAAAGACATAGACTGAAGGAGCAAGTTGTTGGTCACACCCCTTCTCTCTCCTCATTTTAACTTCCGAGAAGAGTTCTGACATGCATAAAGGACACATGAAGGATAAAATAACATATGATATAATAAGAAAAACCATGCCCTACCCATTCCTTCCAAAGGGATTGAAGATTATAGGGAAATGGAGCCTTCAGTAGAAAATGGAAGAGTCATAAATGTTAGTAATGAATACAACTCTCTTCTTTCTTCTACTACCAGACTGGCAAATTGAAAGTGCCACACAAGACCAAGATGATGTGTATGAAAAACTACCCTGAGCTTCTCAGGCCTGATTCTAGTCTAAGCTTTAAGCTAAAAAGGATTGGGTAGAAGAGGATTCTTATATTTACACATGATACCAGAGAGTCTGGGCCAGAAAGTTTGGCCAACAATAAATGATGTGCATGCAGCACATACATATAAGGATTAACAGATACTTAAACACTTACCACATATCAGGTAGTCTTCCAGGAACTTTATATGATTAAACTCCTTTGACCCTTCCAACACAACTTTATGAAGTAGATAGCAGTGCTCACTTCAGCAGCACATACACTGAAGTAGATGATATTATTATCCCTATTTCACAGATAAGGAAACTGAGGAACAGAGAAGTTAAATAACTTCCCAAAGTTGCACAGCTATAAATATCAGACTTGGGAACCAAGCAGTCCAGCCTCATCTCCTGCATTCTGTACCATGAGACCATCGTTTTATTCTTCATAAAGTCTAAAATGTCGGTTGCAGAAAATTACATAGGGATTCGAAAATTCAGTATCCTACCAAACTCAATTACTGTAGGTTTATTAATATGAGTTCCATCCAACACCACCAATTATTTGGACACTGAGCATAATACAAATCTTGCATGTTAGCTAGGCAAAAATTCCATATCTTCCCAAAAGTAAATACTGACCAGTTAGAATTATTCTTTTCTCACAGGAGAGGCTAAGGAGGGCTGTAGTTGTCTTAATGGTACTGTTCTTCAAACGATGCCCTTCATCACAGATTAGAAGATCAAATTTTGTATTCTTAATTTGATCCAGGGAACGAAGTAACATTTCATAACTCATGATAAGGACAGAATAAAATGGAGATTTGATGAATTCTTCAACTTTGTGGTCCTAAAAAGGAGGAGCAGGGTAGTAATATTTAACAAAACATGAGCACAACTTTGAAATCAAATTGACGCAGCATATTCCTGACAGACATTAATCAAGCATTAGAATATGTTGACTCAAAGCCAAATTGTAAGCCAAGATTCCATTTTTCTGCAAAGGAACTGGAGAGCTACAAACACTTGGAAAACACTATACAGAGAATGAAAACTGCAGTATTGATCTGAGAAGCTAGGTATGTAGAAAATGACCAAAACTACACTTTTAAAAGTCTCTTACCTGATCAACAGTAAATATCTTGATCCTTTCACTTCCTAGCCATTTTTGAAATTCTTTCCTCCAATTAGTCACCAAGCTTCCAGGTGTGACAATAAGTGTCTTTTTTATTACTGGCTTGCCTCCATAGGGTCCCTGACACTGTAGTGTCCAAATGAGTGAAATGCATTGCAATGTCTTCCCTAAACCCATTTCATCAGCAAGAATAGCTCCACATCTGCCATTCACCCTGTTAGAAACAATTATGCTCCCTTTAATCACAACAGGAAAATACTTCATGCCCCTTAATATCATCACTTATTAGTCAAGAACCAGAAGCTGATATTTTGTAATTAGAACAAACTGTACCCCCAACTAAACACTTTTTCTAGCTTTTCATGCAGCTAATTTACAGCATACCTTTCTTTGCATCTTTGATAGTTACATTAATTATGTATTTGTCAACTAAATTACTAAAACAAATATGAAATGAGACAGTTGATCCTGAATTATGTTACTATCATTTGTATATATTTAGACAGACTAGAAATGAATCCCAATTTTATATCTACAGTTGGGCAATTTAACAATAATTATGCTTCTCATCACTAACAGTTGAACAAATTTATCAGTTTCAGCATTAGGTATCAAAACAGTTTAAAATACATTGTAATCTAAACCAGAAAGATGTATTGGGCTATATTTATGATTCTCTGGCAGTAAATGAAGTCCTCAACCAAAATAGCACCCGGTACTGTAAGAAAAATTAAACATTAAATATTTGATTTAATACATGTCTTTTAGTAAAAGCCTTAGCCTACAGACATACTCAATCAATACAATTTAATTTAATGATTAAATTAAATATTATAGATGTTCCCAGATACTTTTTAAGTGTGTGTGTTCTTTATGCATTTTCTTTATCCATTACTATTTTGTTTTATTAAATAATTTTAAACTTTCTACTAAAAAAAACTAAATATTATAAAGAATGTTATTAATAAGTGGCATGTTTATACTACCTCATAGTTTCTTAATGCTCTCTGATAATGCAGATTTGATATATATTTAAAAGGTTACAAAGTCCAAAGGAATTAAGGATATTACTAAAAATAAGTAGTTTGTTAATTCTTATTAATAGAAATAATAACCAAACAGCAATTTTATATGTTTCCCATTCCAAAGTATACAGAAATAATCACAAACATGAATTATGGCCATTATCATCATTTCAGGTCAACAATTTGCTAATGCAGGACCAAATGCAGCTAACTGAGATACAGTAAGTGGCAGAGAGAACAATGATCCACCCTTCACAATTGAGGGAATGAGCAGGAAGGCTGCACAGAGAAGAGGCATAGTGAGCAGAGTTTTTCTTAAAAGGTGAACAAGAATTCAGGGCATGTATCAGGTAGTTAGTAGTTACAGTGAATTCCAAGCAAGGAAATACAAACCTATGAAACTGGCAAGAGAGGCAGAAGGCAAAAGATGAGAAGAGAATTCTTACTCCTGAAAGCTCAAACTGTATCTTAGAGGTCAGTATCTCCCAAACATCAACTTTTCATGAGTACCATCACAATTTCTCGCCATATATGTGATACTATATGCTTTATTACTTCTCTTTAAACAAATTCACTTTTTTACTTAGATTTATTTGAAAAGAAAATTCTTTCTAAGCATAATTTATCTGTGAAACCAAAAGTTTAATGTACCATTTTTTTCTAATAACTCACTAACTAAATATGGTACTACTAAAATTAAAAAACAAGACTTGTCCATGTACACCTAAATGATCCCACACACCACCAATGAAGTGCATATCACAGACCAGGGAACACTGCTCTAAGTTCTGAGAGTCTGAATCATTTTAAGCAAGGGAATGTCATTGTCAGAACTTTTTCAGAAAAATCAAGCTGATAGTGATAAGGAGAATGGATCTGAGGACCATCAGAAGCAGATACATGACTTAGGAGGTATTGTAATGACCCAGACAAAATATAGTTAGCTGACATTAGTTACTAGAGCTGCACGAGTGGAGTGCCAGAAAAGATTAGGTATCAAATAATATTCAGAAATCAAATAATTAAAAGTTGAGGTTTAACTAGAGTGAGAAGGTGAGAAAGAAGGAATCAAAGATGACTCCTAGGCCAAATGAGGTAATATCTCTAAAAAGAAAAGCAGATTTGAGAAAGAACAACAATCAAAAGTTTCTAGGATATAGCATTCCCTTAACTTGTCATCATTAAAGGGGTTTTTAGAGTTTGGGGAATTTTACATCCCCAACTCCCTATTAAGTAGACAATTTAAAAATCAAGGGAATAGATATAAAATGGGGAAATGACAGCCTCTTCAACAACTGATATTGGCAAAACTGGAAAGCTACATGTAAAGAGAACGAAACTGGATTATTGTCTACCTCCATATACAAAAGTAAACTAGAAATGGATTAAAGACCTGAATGTAAGTCATGAAACCATAAAACTCTTAGAAGAAAACATAGGCAAAAATCTCTTGAATATAAACATGAGCAACTTTTTCCTGAACGCATCTCCTTCAGCAAGGGAAACAAAAGCAAAAATGAACACATGGGACTACATTAAACTAAAAAGTTTCTGTACAGCAAAGGACAACATCAGCAGAACAAAAAGGCATCCTACAGTATGGGACAATATATTCATAAATGACATATCCGACAAGGGGTTAACATCTAAAATATATAAAGAGCTCACAAGCCTCAACACCCAAAAAGAAAATAACCTGATTAGAAAATGGGCAGAGGATCTGAACAGACAATTCTCCAAAGAAGAAATTCAGATATACAACAGGCACATGAAAAGATGCTCCATATTGCTAATCATCAGGAAAATGCAAATTAAAACCACAATGAGATATCACCTCAGACCAGTTAGGATGGCCAACATCGAAAAGATAAGGAAAAACAAATGCTGGCGAAGATGCGGAGAAAGGAGAACCCTCCTATACTGTTGATGGGAATGTAAATTAGTCCAACCATTGTGGAAAGCATATGGGGGTGCCTCAAAAAACTAAAAATAGAAATACCATTTGACCCAGGAATTCCACTCCTACATATTTACCAGAAGAAAACAAGATCCCTGATTCAAAAAGACATATGTACCCCTATGTTTATCACAGCACTATTTACAATAGCCAAGATATGGAAGCAACCCAAGTGTCTATCAGTAGATGAATGGATAAAGAAAATGTCATACATATACACAATAGAATATTACTCAGCCATAAGAAGAAAACAAGTCCTTCCATTTGCAACAACATGGATGGAGCAGTAGGGTATTTTGCTCAGTGAAATAACCCAGGTAGAGAAAGACAAGTACCAAATGATTTCCCTTGTTTGTGGAGTATAACAACAAAGTAAAACTGAAGGAACAAAGAGCAGCAGACTCCCAGACTCCAAGAAGGGTCTAGCAGTTATCAAGGGGAAGGGGTTGGCAGGGATGAGTGAGGAGGGAGGAAGAATGGCATTAAGGGGCATTATGATTAGTACACATAATGTAGGTGGCTCACGGGGAAGGCAGTATAGCACGGAGAACACAAGTAGTGACTCTGTATAACNTTGTGTGTGTTTGTATTTGTGTGTATCTTCTAAAATATCTTTAAGAGAGAATACTATAATTTTTTTAATCAGAAAAATCTATTTAAAAGGAGATGGGGAAGACTCCTTTTTTTTTAAAAGTAGACATGAGATTTTTAAAAAGATTTTTTTCCAAAATCTCCATAAACAAATTAAAGACTATTTCCATTTACCCCCATCCCATAACCTTTTCTCATGCTGGCAGTGAATTCTTATTGTTCGACATTAAGGTTGACTATATTTACCTATTTCCTCAAATACTGTATAAGCTACTTAAGAGAAAGCACTATGGTCCTGATTCCTATATGCATGGCTCCTAGAAGGATGCCTGGTACATGGCATCCATCAAGAACTACTTTTGGAATAAATGCACACACAAAACATCATTCTTCATTCCTACCAACAGAAATTCATGATGTACTAACCAAGACTCACTATATCAGGCTTTTTCTAGAAAACGATTATGTTACAGGTTAAATCAAACTCAGATCAGACTAAATAAATGCTTTATTTTCCTACCTCATTCCCATCACACATTCATATAGGAAAATGATTCCTTCTTTCTGATGTGGTCGAAGATGATGCACAAGATGAGGATCTATCACTACATCCACAAGAGGGAAACAGTTCTTATTGAACATCCACTGGTGATTATTGTCTGGTCGTAGCATAACAAGGGAATCTTAAGACAAAGGGAAAGTGTAACTATAAATGTATTGCAATTTCACTTTGTCAGCAACTGCATTATCTTGCTTTAATTACTCATAAGATATAACTGCTTGTCATCATTTTTGGCAAAAAATTAAAGTTTAGTAACACTAATGCTAACCTAGAGTACAAAATTAAAAGATAAAAATTTCATGCCTTATTGATGTACCATTTCATGCAAAGAATAACAAAGAGCTTTCTAAGCCACATATGCCCAAAAGTGTGCTTCAAAACCACCGAAATTCACTATTGTCTGATAAGGAATTCAGCAAGCCACAACATCTAAGAGTTCAGTATTCAGAGCAAAGAGAACTATTTCCAACTGAAAGCACAGGTTGGAATTTTGCCAAGATTCACTTGTCAATTCAGAGCTACATATTCTGGAAAGGCTCCCTGAACTTAACATAAGGGTCCCTTTATTTACACTCCTACATACTAACAATGGCCATTACTTCTATTAATCAGAAGAACTGAGTAAGAATAACAAATTTTCCATTGATTCACCGTCATTATTTGCTTAAAGTTAGCTACTACATTCATGAGTGTCTAATTCATGAATCCTTGCAAAGCAAAAAAAGTTAACAGTTGAATAATAATGTAATTATTAGAAATATATTAATATAACTAAAAAGATTAAAATATTACAAAAAATACAAAATCAAATATAACCAGAAAGCAATTCTTAAATAAATCTGAAATTAGATAGTAAACTCAGCAAAATTATTTTTTTAATATATGTCTATACCATGCTAAAAATGAAATCGCCTTTTTTAAATGAAATAGATTTGAATAATAAAGAAAAAGAAAAAGAGAAGGACAAAGAGGTGAGAGGAGGAGATTAAAAATAGGTTCCTGTACAAAAGAACTCAAAAAACTCAAAATAGAAATACCATTTGACCCAGGAATTCCACTCCTAGGAATTTACCCTAAGAATGCAGAGGCCCAGTTTCAAAAAGACATATGCACCCCTATGTTTATCAGAGCACTACTTACAATAGCCAAGAAATGGAAGCAACCTGAATGTCCATCAGTAGATGAATGGATAAAGAAGATGTGGTACATACACACAATGGAATATTATTCAGCCATAAGAAGAAATCAAATCCTACCATTTGCAACAACATGGATGGAACTAGAGGGTATTATGCTTAGTGAAATAAGCCAGTTGGAGAAAGACAAGTATCAAATAATTTCACTCATCTGTGGAGTATAAGAATAAAGAAAAAACTGAAGGAACAAGACAATAGTAGACTCACAGAACCCAAGAATAGACAAACAGTTACCAAAGGGAAAGGGACTGGGGAGGATGGGTGGGAAGGGAGGGATAAGGGAGAAAAAGGGGCATTACGATTAGCACACGTAATGTGGGGGCGGGGCATGGGGAAGGCAGTACAATACAGAGAAGACAAGTAGTGATTTGATAGCATCTTACTACGCTGATGGACAGTGACTGTAATGGGGTATGTGGTAGGGACCTGATAATGGGGAGAGTCTAGTTACCATAATGTTGCTCATGTAATTGTACATTAACAATACCAAAATAAAAAAATAGGTTCCTGTAGATTAAGTAATATCCATTAATTGGGAAATATATACAGTTACAGAAATGAGAATTTGATTATGTTTACCATTAGCAATTACCCAGAGGAAAGTTTTCTCTGGATCTTCCTAGGTTTCTGAGCAACTAACAGGAACTCTCATTTCTGAGGTCACCTGTTGTAGGTAGATTAGGGAATGAAAATGGAAACCTTAGCCCTTGGCTTTTCTCTACATCCCAGTAGCAAAACAAGAATGTATTCCTTGTGGGTTTCTAACTAAGAAATGCCGCCAGTTTTGTTTTGTTTTGTTTTCTCTCTTTGGAAAAGTACAAAGGGGAAAAAAAGAGAAGATGGGGTGAAGATGATACACTACTCAAGCATGAACCATAGGACCACAAGTCACCTAACAAAGCACTCATTTCCAAGCAAGATAAAACCTAAACCAGAGTGATAATGGGGCACTAGTTCAAATTTTAAGATGCCTCTCCCTCTCCCTTCAAAATGATGAGTCACCATATAAAGCCAACAAAATCTTTCACGCTTTAAAGTCTGTAATTTAATTCTACTTACTTTTGGCAGATAAAATAAATAAATGACAATAATCAACTATTTACCACTTACACAAAGGGTGTTCATTTACATGTATATGTGTACCCCCATGTACACATATATCTAAATTATCATAAAATTTTCCATTTACTCAGACAACAAATGTTTATTTTACACAATATATAGCAGGCACTCTAAGTTTCAATGGTAGTTATTAGAACCCACATTTTAGACAAGGAGAGGCAAAGTACTAGTGAGGTAAGTGACTAGGCCAAGAGGTCAAAGAATCAATTAGTTCAGTGGTAAAAGCAGGACTCTAACTCAGGTCTTTGAATAAGCACAGCATTCTTTTCAGTTCCCCACAGCCTTTATTATGTATAGGAAGGCAAGAGAAAGGAGACTAAGGAACAGGAAGCTTGTTAAAAGAACTGGGGGACAGACAAAATATTTGGATAAGAAGAAAAATCAGAAACACAAGCATCCACTCTTAAATTCCATCAAGTCTCAGATATGCACATATAGATCTAGGAATTTCTAATTTTGGGTTTTTGCCCTAATTAATGGCAACAATTATTTGAAGTTAGGCAAGTCAGTTTATGTTTCTGAGCCTCAGTTTCCTAAGTTGCGAAGTGAAGGAACTGATCTAAATGATTTCTAAGGCCCCTTTATTTAAGAGTCTGTTTCCATAATACTTGCGAGAGGGAAAAGTACTTAATTATGTTACTTGACATACATATATGCTATTATGAAAGAAACCTACTTTATTTCCCAACTTCCATATCCACTACACTACAATTCAAATTTACTTGTCTATCTCCTCACCAAATGAAAAGATCTCTGATGACATTTCTGTCTCTGGGCCCAGTACATAAAGGGTACTCAAGAAATACTTGCTGAGTAAATAATCAGACTAAAAAACAAACAAACCAGGGTATGTTTCACTTTTTAATGTGATTTTTAAATTAAATTCATTAATGTGAAAATTAACTGAATTGACTTCTCACACATAAAATTTGAATTCTTTATGACATCTCACCATTCAATATTTTCAAACACCAATAAATATGATCAAGGTATACAGGCTTCAAAACAGAAGTATAAACAGAATTGATTCATGAATTTACTAATTTTTCTCTGAATTACAAATGTCAGATCTTATTCAAAATCATAGACGTGTGTATACATATCTAATTTGTCTATTTTTCCTTCAATATGTACATATTTCCATTACTGTATTCTTAGAATTATTTATTTATGACATCATCCCCAAACTATTTTGCTATGCAATATCAACATACCTTAAACTGTATATCTGAAGAATAATATACACTTATACCTGAACCTTAAACAAAATTTAAACTTTTAATTCACATATCAAAAAGCTTTTGACAGCAAAAACAAACTACTCAAATTATTTCTAAATCTTACTTGGTGCATATGGGTCATGGCGTGGTTTGCAGTTTTGGAAAGCATTCTGTCTATTTTCCTTTGAACTTGACTTACAGACATTTTTGAAAGGGTTAGAAAAACACTTCTTGGCAGCTTGAGAAGAATTTGAGATAGCAGGACTTCCTCCTCCAAGCTGAAAACATCTGCCGCTGTTGAAATCATCTGGAGAGATTACACCCATGACTTCTATTTCTTTTCCACCAATCATCATTGTTTGGCCCTCTTCAATCTTTTCAAGCTCTTTCAGTTTATATCCAGTGCCTTCAAAGAAGGAAGAACATTAATTGAATTTACTGTCACTCAAACATGATTTAAATTAGTGATACCATAGTCACCTTCCCATCACCATACAGAATAAGAACTGTGTTTTGAATCCAAATAGCCTGTGCAACCCAAAGCCAAAATGAAAACAAAATTTATCATTTTGGTAAAAAAAATTAAAAAGTTAAAAATCAGAAGGAATAAATAATGTAGCTATAAAAATTAGGCAAGCTCTAGAGAAAGAAAGACTTTTCTTAATTACTGAAAATACAATCTATTGTACTCATCATTTTGCTCTCTGTTACCCATAGAAAAGCAAGCCAAGAAAACAGTTTGGTAAGCTATCTGGACCCTCATTTCTTGTGTACAAAGTAGAGAAATACTATGCCATCTCTATTTCCACTTTAGAAACAACTGCACATGTGAAGGAGAAGCAGCAATAAAAGCAACCACAGCTAGTACTGTACTATTCCACGAGATAGCAAAGTAAAAATAATTTGTGGCAAGAGGGAGAGTCCAAGTTCTAACTCTTGAATAAAAAATGGAATATTTAATTATATCAGCTTGTTTTAATTATTTATTTTATTTTTTTATCAAGGTATCATTGATATATAATCTAATGAAGGTTTCATATGAGCAACACTGTGGTTACAACACCACCTATATTATTAAGTCCACCCTACACCCCATTGCAGTCACTGTACATTAGTGCAGTAAGATGCTGTAGAGTCACTACTTGTCTTCTCCATACTATACTGCCTTCTCTGTGAGCCACCTACATTATGTGCACTTATCATAATACCCCTTAATCCCCTTCTCCCTCCCTAGATCCCCCACACTCCCCATCCTCTTTCCTTTGATAAACACTAGTTCCTTCTTGGAGTCTAGGAGTCTGCTGCCATTTTGTTCCTTCAGTTTTGCTTTGTTGTTATACTCCACAAATGAGAGAAATCATTTGGTACTTGTCTTTCTCCACCTGGGTTATTTCACTGAGCATAATATCCTCTAGCTCCATCCTTGTGCAAATGGTAGGATTTGTTTTCTTCTTATGGCTGAATAGTATTCCATTGTGTATATGTACCACATCTTCTTTATCCATTCATCTATTGATAGACTCTTGGGTTGCTTCCATATCTTGGCTATTGTAAATAGTGCTGTGATAAACATAGGGGTACATATGTCTTTTCGAATCAGGGATCTTGTTTTCTTCTGGTAAATATGTAGGAGTGGGATTCCTGGGTCAAATGGTATTTCTACTTTTAGTTTTTTGAGGCACCCCCATATGCTTTCTACAATGGTTGAACTAGTTTACATTTCCACCAGCAGTGTAGGAGAGTTCCCCTTTCTCTGCACCATGGCCAGCATTTGTTATTCTTAGTCTTTTCGATGCTGGCCATCCTAACTGGTGTGAGGTGATATCTCATTGTGGTTTTTATTTGCATTTCTCTGATAATTAGCGATGTGGAGCTTCTATTTATGTTCCTGTTGGTCATCTGAATTTCTTCTTTGGAGAACTGTCTGTTCAGATCCTCCGCCCATTTTTTAATTGGGTTATTTGCTTTTTGCGTGTTGAGGTGTGTGAGTTCTTTATATATTTTTTATGTTAACCCCTTATCAGGTATGTAATTTATGAATATATTGTCCCATACTGTAGTGTGCCTTTTGTTCTGCTGGTTACCTTTGCTGTACAGAAGATTTTAGTTTGATGTAGTTCCATTTATACATTTTTGCTTTTGTTTCCCTTCCCCAAGGAGATGTGTTCAGGAAAAAGTTGCTCATGTTTATATTCAAGAGGTTTTTGCCTATGTTTTCTTCTAACAGTTTTATGGTTTCATGACTTACATTCAAGTCTTTGATCCATTTTGATTTACTTTTGTGTATGGAGTTAGACAGTAATCCAGTTTCATTCTCTTACATGAAGCTGTCCAATTTTGCCAACACCAGTTGTTGAAGAGGCTATCATTCCCCCGTTGTATATTCATGACTCCTTTAACATATATTGTCATATATGGTTGGATTTATATCTGGGCTTTCTGTTCTATTCCATTGATCTTTGGGTCTGTTCTTGTGCTAGTACCAAATTGTCTTGATTACTATGGCTGTGTAGTAGAGCTTGAGTTGAGGAGTGAAATCCCCTCAGCTTTATTCTTCCTTCTCAGGATTGCTTTGGCTATTTGGGGTCTTTTGTGGTTCCATATGAATTTTAGAACTAGTTGTTCTAGTTTGTTGAATAATGCTGTTGATATTTTGACAGGGATTGCACTGAATCTGTAGATTGCTCTAGGCAGGATGACCATTTTGACAACATTAATCCTTCCTATCCATGAGCACAGGATGTATTTCCATTTATTGGTGTCTTCTTTAATTTCTCTCATGAGAGTCTTGTAGTTTTCAGGGCATAGGTCTTTCACCTCCTTTATTTTTTATTCTTTTTGATGCAACTGTAAATAGATTGTTTTCCTATTTCTCTTCTGCTAGTTTATCTTAGTTTATAGGAATGCAACAGATTTCTGTGTATTAATATTGTATACTGCAACATTGCTGAATTCAGATATTAGTTCTAGTAGTTTTGGAGTGGAGTTTTAGGGTTTTTTATGTATGGTATCATGTCATCTGCAAATAGTGACAGTTTAACTTTTTCCTTTCCAATCTGGATGCCTTTTATTTCTTTGTTTTGTCTTATTGCCATTGCTAGGACCTCCAGTACTATGTTGAATAAAAGTGGGGAGAGTGGGCATCCTTGTCTTGTTCCCAATCTTAGCGGAAAAACTTTTAGTTTTTGCTGTTAAGTAGGATGTTGGCCATGGGTTTGTCATATATGGCCTTTATTACATTGAGGTACTTGCCCTCTATATCCATTTTGTTGAGAGATTTTTTCATGAATGGATGTTGAATTTTGTTGAATGCTTTTTCAGCATCTATGGAGATGATCATGTGATTTTTGCCCCTCTTTTTGTTGATGTGGTGGATGATGCTGATGGATTTTTGAATATTGTACCTTCCTTGCATCACTGGAATAAATCCTACTTGATCATGATGGATGATCCTTTTGATGTATTTTTGAATTCAGTTTGCTAATATTTTGTTGAGTAGTTTTGCATTTATGTTCATCAGGGATATTGGTCTGTAATTTTTTTTTTGTGGTGTCTTTCCCTGGTTTTGGTATTAGAGTGATGCTGGCTTAATAGTATGAGTTTGGAAGTATTCCCTCCTCTTCTACTTTTTGGAAAACTTTAAAGAGGATGGCTGTTAGATTTTCTTTAAATGTTTGATAAAATTCAGCGGTGAAGCCATCTGGTATGGGAGTTTTGTTCTTAGGTAGTTTTTTGACTCAATTTTATTGCTGGTAATTGGTCTCTTCAGATTTTCTGTTTCTTCCTGGGTCAATCTTGGAAGGTTGTATTTTTCTAGAAAGTTGTCCATTTCTTCTAGATTATCCAATTGAATTACCGGTAATTCAGAGGACATTAAGCATTGCCATGTGTAAGGTGTTTACAGAATATAAATATGAATCAGCTGGTCACAGTCTGCTCTAAAAGAGTTCATTAACCAGATAAGTGATGGGATTATAGACTCCTATGCTTGTCTATATTAAATGCATAGTTACTGTGCCATTACAAGGGGCAATTATTGCTATAACAAACTTTTTTAAGTCTCTAAAAATCAAAAATAGAAGATTGTCACATTTTAGAAAATATGGCATGACCCTTCCAAACTAGCTGGAAATTGCTACAATGTACCCTATTAAAAATAGGTTAAAATTAATAATCTGTGCCAAATAGTAACTAATATTATATTCTTAAATTATTTATGATCGAGCACTTTTTAATTTTAATACTCTGATACAGGCATACATTACTTAGCTGGTGTTCCTAAGTACCAAAGACTCATACCTCCATTCCCCAAACTATCTCAATTCAACAACAGTCTTGACCTCTACACGTTAATGAAGATTATAGTTTTATTTCCACATGAATCCAATTACTATTCATCTCAGTTTTACATGGAAAGGTGACACAAGAAAAAACTTTCTTTTGAGCCATCTCTAGATGTCTCTATAACTCTAGGATCTTTCATTTTACTTTGATCCATAGTGATGACTCTCTCAAACATCTCTACATCTTCAGAAGCCTTTCTTAAAACTCTTGAACTTTGTTTCCCACACTTATTTTTTTCTGGATATTGTATAATGATGGTCAATTGAGCCTGACTACATGATAATAGCTATTAGCAATTTCAGCATGCCAGCTTCAGTTTTCTTGAGTCTCCATCCCTACAGTAACAATATTTAGGTGCTGTATATCCACTTTATTTAAAAGAAAAATGGCTCAACAGCAGAGAAGACTAGTATTGACTCTGTAGATTCTTACTACACTGATGGACAGTAATTACAATGGGGTAGGGGGAGTTGATAACATGGGTGAATGTTGAAACCCCAATGTTACTCATGTGGAACTTTCATAAGATTGTATATAAATGATATCTTAATTTAAAAAAAGAAAAGAAAAACTGCTCATGTTACAGGCAGTAACTTGTAAAATTAACTCCAGGTTGATATGTTTATTGTTATAATTAAGCAACCAAGTTTTATGTTTGGAAATTTTCATTTGGAAAGCCAATAAAGTCCCCTTTAATGTTTAAACCAGCAGTTCTCAACTCCTGCTGGATATTAGAATCACCTGGAAACTAATATATTTATGCCCAATTTCCCCACCATCTAGCCAAATAAATTAGCACAGCCTCTGAGGTCAGGGACTCAGTGTTGGCATTTTTTAGAAGCATGTTAGGGGATTCTAAAATGTAGTCAGGGTAAAACTGTTTAAACCTATTTTGCATTTTTCTGCTACTTGCAACTGAAGATTTTATTATAAAATACACTTATACAAAATCATGTATACTATACCTTTTGGGTAAGAGATATTCCAGGGCAAATTTGATAATTTTTACTTCTCTAGTTGGCTTTCAAATATAATTTCCCTCAACAGACATGAACAAGTTCTCCCAAAATGGAGCCCCAATCTACCTTAACCAAAATATGGAATGTGTACTGTAATTTTTCCTTTTAATTTCTCTAAACAACAAGAATATTATGTGTATAGTAGTTGTCCAAGACTTCCAAATAAAATTCTGTTGCAGAGAATTCAGTTTGGCCTCAACTCTTCCCACTCTGTCACTGCCCTTCTTATCCTACATTCCTGAAACACTGAACTAGTTAAAATTCTCCCCTGCTTTTGTGCCTTTGTATATACTATTCCCTCTTGTATATGCTCCTTTCTCTTACCCTATAAAACTATTCATCCTTCAAATATTACCTTAAACAGTAACTCCCATGAAGTTTTGCCCTAGCCTCTGAGGCAGACTTAAATGTTCCTTCTATTCCTATTGTACTGGCTACAAATTCTCACTGTAACAATTACCTTACTGCTTTCTAATTATCAATTACATTGCCCTTCCCCATTAAACTAAAAATCATTTCTGTCTTTGAATGTTTATTCCAGCATAATGCCTGGCACTGAAAACTATGAACTATAATATTTTTAAATGAATGAATGAACATATACAACAGATTTTATCATTATGGACCACACTCAAAATTGAACAATAGGAGACAATACAAAAAAATAATCATTATCTGTTAAGAATTATGAATTTGTGGGCTAAATTGTATTATCCAAAGATGAATATATAGTACAGATCATATTGGCAATGTTTTTTAATAGAAATGATGGTAACCTACAATTTAGATATATCAATCTATGTCATTCCTAGCCATTATCTCCTTGCTTTTTTCAAAATTTTGTTTGGTATCATTGAAATTAGGTATCTTTCTACTCTTGATATCAATCTCTTCAACTTTCAATAAATTAGCATTCTAGAAAAAAAAGCACACTAAGACAAACTGCTTACCCTCAGAAAAAAACCATACTAACTGTATACACCTAGTTGACCATTTAATTTTTGGAGAAAATGAAGCCATGGGATGAGATATGCTTCACTGAGTAAGTATACATAAGATTGTGAGACTATCATGAGATAATTTCATGTTTATGAGATAATTTAGACATAAAAGTCTATTAAAGAACACTTAATCTATCCCTTTATAAAACCTGATTATATTTCAATTATCCCAAGATATACCCAAAGTTTAGGCCCAATCATAAACATTAGGTAATATCACAATACCTCTTCCAATGTCTTTGCCTTCCAAATCCTTTAATGTAAATGATTTTCCTTTTACAATAAGAACAGCATCACCTTCCCACTTTTTGTGTTTTTTCTTTGAAGCCTTACACCAAACAACACTGAAATATTTAACTAGGCTATTAGGTTCCTCTTCTTGTCCCTTAGACACTGTTATTTCTTTATGGGTTGAATGTACTAGAATAAAAAAAATAAAAAACACATTACCAGAGATGACTTTAATATTTAAGTAATAAGGTCATTCAAACAAAAATAAAAGCAGAAGAAAATTAGATAGCACTAAAAAGTATGAAAGAATATTTGATGATACTCTTGTTAATATTTCATAAACTGATAAATTCAAATGTCAGGTGCTAGTATTACCATGAGTACAATGAATGTAAATTTCTTGTCATCCCTAAGTCATACAAACTCAGCTGAAGTAGAATAACATAATAATCGCTGCAACATTTTAAAACTCTAGGAATTTAAGATAAATTTGAACATCCATGGAAAAATATCCAAGATCACATATTTTGAACAAACAACTAATTTGATGAACAGTGACATGAAAGTCAAAGAAAAGCAAAGTAAGTTCACAGAGGCCCCTGAGAGAAAAACCTGCAGTTTTTCAAAAAAGAGAAGATGTAAAACCAAGTAGAAATGAGACTAAATTTCATTAAAATACTCTTGTCTCCTAGTGAGGGAATAACCAGGGTGATTAATTGTGAGAATTCAGCAGTATATGAGCAGGAAATAAAAGGTTTCCTTTTACAAAAGTCTGTGCTTTTCTGGAAAGGTATTTCCACAATTGCCTTATAAAACATATCCAAACAGTCTAACACAGAAAGCTCTCCAGCAACAGAGAAACTAATCTATGTTGATAGAAACCAAAAAGTGATTTCTGCCTCTAGAGTTGAGGATTCAACTGGAAAGTGACAGGAGAAAACTTGTTCTGAGTGATAGTTATATAGATATATATAATTAACAAAAATCATCACTGTCGGTTTAAGAGCTACACATTTTATTACATACAAATTATAACTCAATTTTAAAAAGGCCAAACATAATAAAACAAAAATATAACAGCAGAACAGATAGAAAGGCATGTAGATAATATTCTAAATAGGGGTATTTTTTAGGGTTTTGAAGCAAAAACATAACTTATCTGTTACTTCAAAGTACACTTGACACTACAGTGAAAACGTCCCCCTGCTCTGCCTCACTTCCTCTTTTCCCCTTGGCAGTCACAGTTAAAACACCAGCACGGGGAGGAGCCAAGATGGCAGTGTGAGTAGAGCAGCTGAAATCTCCTCCCAAAACCATATATATTTTTGAAAATACAGCAAATACAACTATCCCTAAAAGAGAGACCAGAAGATACAGGACAACAGCCAGGCTACATCTACACCTGTGAGAACCCAGCGCCTCATGAAGGAGGTAAGACACAAGCCATGGCCCAGCGGGAGCCGAGTGCCCCTCACCCCAGCTTCCTGCAGGAGGAGAGGAGATGGAGCGGGCAGGGAGAGGGAGCCCAGGACTGCTAAATACCCAGCCCTAGTCATCCACAGCGGGAGTGCAGACACACAGTGCGTGGGATGCTGGATACTAGGGAAATGGAACAGTAAAACTTGTGAACAGATCCCCTGGGACAAAGAAAAGCGAGTGCCCTTTGAAAATCTTAAAGAGACAGTAACCCCACAGCTGGATGGAAGCATCCGAGGACATTCAGGCCAGCAGCTGGGAATCCCGGGGAATTCCGGGCACCCTAACCCCATGGGCAGCAGCACAGCTCTGAGGCCCCTCACAGTGATAAACAGCCTCCTGCCTGTTCCTGCTCCAATGCAGCTCCACAGTAGCGGAGCAGCAGCCTGAGGGCTGCCTCACCCACAGCAACCGCAGAGCTTACTCCACAGAGGCAGGGCAAGAATAAGAGACCCTGTCTGCATGCAGCTGCCCAGCACAAGCCGCTAGAGGTCGCCATTCTCCCAGGAAAGGTAGGCCACAAACTAGCAAGAAGGGACATTCTAACAGCTGACACACGCAGCAGCTCCCCACAACTACCTCTACCCCATGAAAAGGAAGAAGAATTT